AATAATCTTAGAAGAGTCTTTTAATCTAAATAAAATTAAATTTTTGAAAGTGCATATATACACACACACACACACACACACATATATGCCTTCTATAGTTGCATATGTTAAATTCTCCCCACGAACTTGGTTTTCTTAGGGCAGTGGTTCTCAACCTGTGAGCTGTGACTCCTTTCACAGGGGTCATCTAAATACATCTTGCATATCAAGATGTATTGATAATACATTGTACTTAATATACGTATTTAATATAAATCGTATTTATATTATGATTCACAACTATAGCAAAATTACAGTTACGAAGTAGCAATGAAAACAATTTTATGGTTGGGGGTCACCACAGCATGAAGAACTATATTAAAGGGTCATGGCATTAGGAAGGTTGAGAACCACTGTCTTAAGGTGAATACAGCCTTTTGAAATAGATAGTGATGATGCTTCAGCACATTTATTTCTTCTGGTTTTTGTGCCTATCCCCCAACCTATGAATAATATAGGTGGATAAACATTTTATGGACGTTATATGTTTAGCACAAAATCTCTGGAAAACCATTCAATACTTAATTTACTATATTTGTAGTTGTTGATTTGGGGAGGGGCAATTGTAAGGGTTAACAGAAATATTAAACTACATCGTAAGAGGAAGTGCTAGGCTAATTCAACCCCCACGTGAAAAGGCTGGATGAAAAGACCAGTACTGGTAAGAAAACCGGATAGAACTAGCTACATTGTACAAGACTTAGACGGAAACGCAGAGCACAGCGCAGGACCCCTCCCCTCAGGACAGCATAACCCCTCCGCCCTCCCCTCACATTTTAAACCTATCATAGGCCAAAGACTACATTCCTAGCCTTATATAGATTCAGCTTCATGAAGTAACCACGCCCCCTCAACTAACCCTATGTAAGATTGTAGCGATCCCTAATAAACAGCTTCGGCTCAGCCTTCTCCCTATACTGTATGAGTGGTTGTGTGATTGTGTCCACCCTTTCCTTCTCCCTCTCATACACCGATCACGAACTCCCCAACACCAACCGCCGGTAGGGCAGTGTCAGGCAATCACTGATGCAAATTGACAGCCTGATGATCTTATGCATCTTGCAGCCTATTGCATAGGATAAGGCAAGTCTTCCTAGTGTGACATGTGGCAGGTGGGGCCACTGTTAGATGACATCCAATACCTCCTGTCTGGAAGGAATTAGCTGTCCTTAGTCACTGATTGTCTTGCAAACATTATTTTACCAGTGAGCTAAAATGCATTCTGTGTACTGTCTCTAGAAAGGGTTCTAGCTACATTTGGCTGGATAGGGTGAGGGTAGGATAGAAACCATTGTATAGGGACATCTCTTACATTTAACTTTTGCTAAAGGGAGTGCTCTCCTCACTGTGTGTACTTCTACAAGAGGCCTTAGAAGCTGACAGTACAAAATAAGGGTCTCCTAAACCAAACTCAGCGTATTTAAATACCACTATTAATAACCCTTCATTAATAATGAAAAATCAGGCCCGGCGCCTGTGGCTCAAACAGCTAAGGTGCCAGCCACATACACCTAAGGTGGCGGGTTCGAATCCCCAGCCCGGGCCCGCCAAACAACAATGATGGCTGCAAC